CAAAACCCCGCATGAAGTAATGAAGCAACAATCTAACAGACTATAAAACAAAGTGACATATAACGTGACAGACATATTATGACAAACGTGACGTACAGCGTGACATAACGTGACAGACGACGTGACATGACAATGTGACACAACCTCAGTAATGACCATATCAATTGGGATAATTAGCCAGTTAATATCAGCAGTACTGGCACTGGACGTCGGTCGCCGGGGGACCTTATATCACCACACTGTTGTTGTTGATAATACGAGTAATTACTGAGTAAATAGTTACGTTGTTTGAGCAAACACCCAGAGATTTGACTGTTTACCTAAGACATCTCTATAGTTGACAGATCGTTTATGTTTGTTTGAAAATAGCTTTTATAATCCTGGACAGAAATAGACATCGTTTAAAGATCGTTGGTATAGTTGACCAAAGTGTTCAAAGATCTAATTTCTAATCCTGAACAATGATAAATTGACCAGAGATTGGATTGTACCTGACACATTCTGGTATACAGGTAACAGATTGTTGTGTATATATATTTTTTATTAGCATTTATAATCCTGAACATAAATGAAAATAGTTTAAAGATATGTTGTTTAGCTAATACATTTGTGGATCTTTGGTTAGGTGAAAACTACTTTCCTAATCTTTGCTAGAAATAGAAATCATTCAAAGAGTTTACTGGATTGTTAGAAATACAATTTAAAAAAACATTTTTAGAGTCCTTTAGTAGATATAAATCGCTGGTTGAGAATGCAACTGTTCCATCTCCATTTTTTTGAGAAATTGAGTTATATATCACTTTGAACTATTTGCAATGCTTTCTCTATGTTAAAACATCAAAAAAAACAAAAAACAGTCGGTTTATGGGTAAAACTCAGTTTACTCTTTGTTCCATTTCCAAAAAAATCAGAAGAAATTACAATGCTAGTGGTCTATCTCCAGAGATGGAACACATGCATCCCTACTTTTGGCACTGACCAATAGGAATCGAGTATTCACTGGAGTTGGAACACATGCTTTCCAAATAAATTGTTATTGTTTGTTTATACAAATATACAGTTAATTCAGTCTTCAGTCCTTCTGCAGACATTGCGAGAATGGGTTATGTTCTTATGAGTTAAATGTTGGTAACTTTTCTGTTATTTAACATAATGTCGAAACTAGATGAAGAAAATATTATGTCCCTATTAAATGACGAATTCCTCATGGAAAGGTAAGAATGCCTACATTACTAAACTTACAGGAATATTCTTTAATTCCTTATATTCTGGACTTTACTTTGTTTAGGTTAGGCCTAAGTTTTAGGTTATTTTGCTTCACAAACAATACCAATAATGTGTTATTAAACTTTTAGTTATTATCTGGGAGTACAGGCTAGGCCTAGATCTATTCATTTAATGTTGTGACCTGTACGATAGGGCCTAAGAGGTCATAATCTGTGATTCATAATTATTGTTAAAATTGAAAGTTCAGTTTTTTTTTATTTGTGCTTTCCTGTCTTGTTTACTAAAGTAGTGCTTAATTAAAGTTTTAACACAGTTATTTTTATTTATTTTCTTTATTTTAGTGACATTGAAGATGACCCAGGATTACCTGACACCGCCAATTCAAATCACAATGATAATTGTGTCATTATAGACGATATCCAAGTTGGTGAAGAAGTTACGCTTTTAGTTGATGGTTCTGGTGTCTGTAGTATCTATAATGCAGAACGTGAAAGCAAAGTGAATGATGAAGAGGCTGTTGCTAGTTTGAGCATTGATAACAGTGTTAATGCTACCGGTATGGAAATAGGCCTAAGTGACTCCCCGAACATTGATAACAGTGATAGTGATATGGAAATAAGTGACTCACCAGGAAGTGAGAGTGATGAAATGTGTGACCAAGGAAAAAAAGTTAGGAGCCGAAAAAGAAACGTCTGTAGGAAGAACTGGAAAATGGAAGTAAGGAAGAGAAAAAGACAGAGTGGAAAAGAATATGAAGATAGAAAAGGAAAGGTTCACAGAGCTAGACGGATTCAAGGTGATTGCAAAGGAGCATGCAAGTTTAAATGTGACACACAAGTTAGTGCTGATGAAAGAAAACAAATTCACGACAAATTCTGGTCCCTCAGTGATACAGGTAAAAGTCATTTTTATAGTAAGTTTGTCGAAAGACACACTAAGCAAAGGTCTCGTACATTACACGAAAATAATAGGAAGTTTTCTTATTTCTACTACTTGGGAACTGAAAAAGATATGCGCGTTAGAGTGTGCAAAGAATTTTTCTTTAAAACTTTGGACATAAGTCAAAGGAGGATATATTACTTTTTTCAGAATGTGTATGATTCTCAAACAGGTACGGCCCGATCCCCTTTAAAAGGTAAAAATACTAAAAGTCATATTGACGATGAGTTGAAGGAAAAGGTTCGTGACCACATTAACTCGTTTCCCCGCATAGAGGCTCATTATTGTCGAAAAGATAGTACCAAAGAATACCTAGAAGGGGATTTATCTCTGGCTGAAATGTATCGACTTTACTCAGCATCAGTAGAAAATCCAGTAAAAGAGTCACTCTATAGGCATATTTTTAACCATGAGTTCAATTTAGAGTTTTTTAAGCCTAAAAAAGATCGCTGCGACACTTGTGAAGCTTTTAAATGTAATCTGGAACCGAGTCAGGCAGAAACAGAAAGATTTAACTTACACAAAACAGAAAAGGATGCAGTCAAACTTGTTCGAGACAAAGACAGAGCTGTGTCAATAAAAGCTGTAAATGACTCAAATACCTGCTTTATAGCTTTTGACTTGGAAAATGTTTTTGCTCTTCCAAAGGCCGAAGTTTCAAACTTTTTTTATAAAAGAAAGTTAAATTGCTACAATCTTACAGCACATGTAACATACAAGGGCCAAATAGAATTATATTGTATGGTTTGGCATGAGTTGATTTCAGGTAGAGCTGGTAACCATCTTGCAAGTGCGGTTTTTAAAATTTTAAACCATGTATTTGCTCAAAACAGAGAAATCAAAAAGTTTGTTTTGTGGTCCGATTCATGCGTACCACAAAACAAAAACTCCATAATGAGCATGGCACTTAAATCATTTTTAAAGGAAAACCCTACAGTAATTGAAATTGTACAACGTTTTTCTGAACCAGGTCATGGAGTTGTCCAAGAAGTCGACGCAATACATAGCAAAATTGAGAGGTGGTTAAAACCTTTAGAGATATTCAGTCCCCTTTCATTGGTAAGGGTCCTGGTAAACAAAGCCAACAAAAGCTCAACAAAAACTAATATAATTCAAATGAAACCCTCAGACTTTTTTGATTTTCAATCTGCTTCAAAGTCACTAAACTATTCCATCATCCCCTACACTAAGATTAAAGAAATAACTGTTACCAATACCGAATTATTTGATGTAACATATAAAACAAGTTTCTTAAATGAAGAATTAGTAAAATGCAACATTGCAAAAGATGGACTGAGAGGGCGTGACAACATTTCAAAATCGCCTCGCCAGCTAAATAAAAAAACTACTACTAGCCCTCAAGCTCAAGCTAAGACGAGACCTAGCCTTCCCTCTGTCAACCCTATCACTTCAAAACCTATTCTGCAAGTAGAGAAGAAAAAAGCCTTGCAGTCGATGTTGAAGTTTATGCCAGCAGTAGACAAAGCATTCTATGAAACTTTGTTTCGGAACACTACGAATAGCTGAGCTGTTATTTGAAGGACTAAGACTAAACAACTATTAATAAGTCAATTCTAAGACTTGAAAAGATCCTTGTCTTTTAATTACCGGTAGGCCTTTGCTAGCCTGTATTGTATTTTAATGTTCTTTTTACTAGGTACCGTGCTATTGTATTGTTTCATTTCGGCATAATAAAATTATTCTTTATTTTAACAACTTGTTTTCTTACTTTACCTATCAACAAAATACCATTTCAAAAAAATATGATCTGTACTAAATATCTTATTTTGACATAGAAGTCACTGTTAGGTAGGCTAATAATTTTTAATATCTGGAGATAGAACAGGTGTACCCATAGTAGTATGAAAAACAACTGTTCTATCTCCAACATTGCTTTAAAAACACATAATTTTTTAATATTAAATCACATAATAAGTTGCCATGGTAAATTTTCACTAGAATACAGTTACTAATAAATATAGTGGAATTATTTAATTGTAAATAGTGCAAATCATGTGATTTCAACAGAATATCAAAGTTTGTTTTCAAGTTTTTGCAAAACTTGAGAAAGTGGAGTTGGAACACTTGCATTTTCACCCAGCGAAATGTAGTTCAAAAGGATTGCACTACTTACTGAAGTCAAAGATATATTTAAAATATCATTAAATTAGGATACCAACCCCTCTCAGAATCTTCCAACCTTCCAATTGACATATTTATACAAACGTACTTTGTGTTATACTACATCTGACTACAATTATTTTTTATATTTGATTATTAAATTACCTAAATTAGTTTTAAAAGATAACTCAAACTTAACAAAGTACATTTGTAGACGATTCGATTTTTTGTAGTTTGGTCTTGTAGAAGACTTTTTTCTCCAAAACGTGAAATATACTATTTTAACAAAGTCGAGTCTTGATTTGACTCTTAACATAACTAAACGCACCAATGACTTGTCATTTGTAATTTACGCTTGCATTCGATATTATATTTGGCTCTCATGTTTTCCTTTAATTTACCCTACTTGATATTTATATATTGCTCTTTTAGTTCTCACATACACATATCTAACACTAACACGTATATGGGGTTTTGTCTCATAGGCAATTATGTACAAGTATTTGGTAAATATAAAAGAAAAACTATAAGTATACCTGAATATAATATACCCCTAAACCAATTTATAACAAATGCATATGTTAATTATCTATTTTTGGAATACACTTAGGGGTTGGATTGACTTTTTTGATTGTTGAGATTGACAGATACAATTAATTATAGTCTGAACTGAGTTCTTATTTTTAGTTTACCTATTAATTGACTTCACATACCTTAACAGTGATTCGAAGTATATTTACTCCATTGTTCTGGACCTGAAACAAAGTTCTATTTAAAAAGGGATTTACAAAGATATCGATTAATAAATCCTTGTACATGATAAAATTACAATTTTTTGAAGATATATAAGGATCTCGTGGTTCTTGCTTGGAGTTATCCTGTAAATAAATAAAAATAACACAACAAGAACATAGACAAATTTAATGAGCCTGAAAAATAAGAAAATAACATATTTGTTGATTTTCTAACATTATGTAACACACATTCACTCTCTGCATGATAATTATGTAAGTAAAAACTCTATGAAAAACCTCATTGTAGAAGCATAGAATTGAATTTAACCTTTTCTTATAAAGCAGAAGCAATACATAGCCTGCATATTATCGATATTCCAAAAATAGGTAAAACAGTTACTTCTACTCTTCCACATAGTAAATGATTCATTATTACCTTTATTCACATCAGTTAATTTCTTGTCAATATGTGTATGATATCAATTATTTTACTTGTTTATTACCAATCCATCTTCAAGTCTTATTTATTTAAAATTACACTTTAATTTTAATTCAATTTATTTTCTGTGTGATATTTACTGTGATAAATTTAACCAAACATCTCAAATTTAAAATTAAGTAATTCCAAACGTTTGCCTGTAAATAGATTTTCCAAAGCTTACCATTGTACCACCACTAACTATACCGGCCAAAAAACTGGCTATCTCGTTTTAATTATCCCAGAAGGATGACCTTTGCAACCCTCGCTGGGGTGGGATTGTCCACCCTTTGCCAGGGTTGATTGCTATTCTCCCCAAGCATTGCCAGGTGCGCGGGTCATTGTGGCCATGATAATGATATGCGGTTGCCCCCCCCCCCCCCAATCTTTAATCCCCAACACCTGGGCCGAGGTACGCAATCGTCTTAACCCCCCCCCCCTGGGTAACTCGGAGGACAAAAGTCCCAAAGGTCAATGTCGAAGCGTGACTAAAAACTGTTATCCGGCTTAACGCTTCCATTGGGGTTTATTTTGAAGATTTGCTCCGCTTTAGCTGTTAAGTCTTTGAAATCCGTTACGTTATGGTGGGGCGTCTGAGAGTGGACGAACACTGCCTAGGGCGCTACTTGGTGCTTAGGAGGTGTGACGTTAATCTTGTTATAAGTTGGATTGTTCATTGCTTGAGTATCATTAAGTTTGGTGTGAATAAGTGAATAACTCGTATCAATATCACACGGTATTAGTAGATTGAATTATCAATAATTACTCTACTCTACTAGTATCAATAATACCAACAGATACTGCTAGTAATGGATAGTTGTAACATGTAGTAGTGTTAGACGAACAAAGTATCAAGAATTGTAAGTTTAGTGATTGTTAATAAGAGGATTTTTTTTTTTCAAAAAAAGAAATCATTTTACAGCACTGCTATATTTTGACAATTTATCTCCAAAAGGAAAGTCAAAATTTATATTTGATAACGTAACTACCTGAAAGATGAGAGTTTATGAAAACAATTACTATCTTTTTAGTACTAGTATTGAATTATAACATTTTCTTCCCGGTTAAACAATTGTAAAAATAAAAACATGTTTCTATACCTAATGGGAAATAATGAATAAATTACTGGCAGAGGGAGACTATATGGAAGATAGATGCAATACGTATTGAATAAACTGCTTTAGAATAATTTGCACGATCCTTCAGAATCCATTACAAATAACATTAATAATTAAAAACCTATAAGATATAAAAGTGTTATCAGCTATAATTAGGAACCTGCAACACCTCTAGTACATTTAGGAGACGCGTGCCGGCCGAGGTCTATCGTGTGCGGAGCCGACTGTACTGACCACACCCCCCACCACCTCACACAACCTTTATACTAATCACATTAATTAATATCTCTTAACTCTGCGCCACTGTGACACTATCACGGCAATCTCCCTCCCCTCGCCCCTCGTCCTGCAACCACCCACTCAATCACACACACAACACCCACACACACACGCACACACACACAGGGTGGAACAGATTATAACTTAGTTGTTTTACTTCGATTTTAGCTTTAAACGACACACAGTTGTATTTCATGATAAAGAAAATAAAAACTATCCTGGTTTAAGATACAGCTGTTATCGTTAAGTAACATGCTGTTAAGGAAATTCACTCTTCGTCCATTCATATCTTACTAGTAAACACGTTGCTCGAAATCAAGCAATTGGAAAGAAGTAAAGTAGTTATTTAAAAACAAATAAAAGTCATCATAATTTCCGATGAATTTAAAAGACTTTGAATTGAAAAATAATTAACAGCAATTAAATTATACAGCTGATCAAAATGTAAACAATTATGTTCTTCGTAAGGATAACATTCGTAAGGGAACTTTAACAGCCACTGGGGCAGAGCCCAAGGGACTTTTTCAAAAATGTAAGGTAATTTTTCAAATTACGTGACACTCTCTTTCCATTGAGACGTCAATGGATAAAATCGGTTAAGAAATGGCGAAGGAGTTCAACCGAGAAAGTTTCATGTAGCGTATTAATTATATAGATAGATTATACTCTTAAAGCGTTTGCTTGTATGTATGTATGTATGTATACGTCCACAAAGATCTCGAAAACGGCAACTTCCATCAAATGTTGTAAATAATTTATACCTGACCTAAAAACGTGTTAACTGCAGTTAAAACTGCCAACAAAAATTTGAATTACGTAAATAAATTAAAGTAAAATAAAGTGAAAGTCACAATTTGTTAACATTGGCCTTATGAGTTGCCAAGTAACCATGCTGGTTGAACAAAATAACAAGGAAAAAGTAAACAACAGACATATAACATGTGTTTATCACAAGCCATCCCTAGTATACTAGCAAATTACAAAATACAGTGCAATGGGAAAACATCAGTTGTTACTATTGAGCAAAGATTACACTGAAGATTACTCGATATAGGGGCACAATGGAAACAAACTATATGTCATGACTTGGTCCCCAGGTACTTTGTTTGAAATAAGCATCAGCTTCATACACATTTTATACTAGTGATATAAGAACACTTTTTAAATGTATAGTGTTACCTAGTTAAGTTCAATAAAAAATTATAATAAAGTGCACTATTAGTAGTTAACTAATAGTGCTACATATAAACAGCTTTCTTCATTCAATTATAAATTTTACTGAGTGTGATTTACTTTGATTATAATGAGGTCTAGAATTGGATTACAATTATGTTGTGGCGAGATTTGAACCTGGGACCTTGGGGACCGAAGATCCGCGCTCTACCACAAGACAGAGTCGCCCGCTCTTCTTAAAATATATATAATTAATTTATCTATATATCAGTTAAACTATCGTAACTGAATCCAAATTACCTTCAAACGAGTTTTAAACAGTTAACAGACTTTAATAAAGAGTGGATTCATGTTTAACCAATCAAACCCTGAGCCTTTTCTTCATTTTGATCGGAAACATTCTGAGTCGTAGACGACCATTAACACTATGTTCACAGGCAATCAGAAATTAAAATGTACGATTAAAAAAAAACTTTTTTATCAAACAATTCTCTCTAGTTAATAATCTAAAAAACAGTGTAGTGTTTCCAACTGCAACGTTATGCATTAACTCCTCGCCCAACCTCACAATCACGTAGTTTCCCTCCAAATTCGCAACCTCTGCTGCTGATTACCCGGGTGATCACCACTAACCAGGCGGAAGCGTCGGAAACTTCGTTGCCAAACATAATCAATGGAGCGACAATTAAATAACGCCAACAAAACTTGTACTGACGATCGGAACAATTGGATTGTCAGTGATTGTGTAAGGCAATCAACCTACATTGTAATGTCGGGCTGATTGTTCGGTACAATCAGTTTAATTACATCAAAATGTAATGTGGCGGATGCGCTTTTGTCGCTGGCGCCATTCAAATTATTATAATTGTATCGATTAGGCATCGCGGTTTGGCAATTAGCAGTAATTAGAATGTTGCTTGGGGACGCGAAATCGAGCTTAGATTAATCGATTTGGGTTTTAATTAAACTATGTAAAATGAGTCATGTTGTTGCATCATAATTTATATTGGAATGGTTTTATCTGGCATTAATGAACGATATAAGTTGAAAAGGCTTCTTTTCATTAGGAAACCAGTTAAAGTTTATCAAGATGTATGCCAATTTATGGAAGGTTGGTTTTTGCCGGACAAAAAATGGACCCGGTTTGCTGTGTCGGACTTTTAAATTTAACTCCTCAAAAAATATATTTTCTTCTTTGGTGTATTGAGATCCAAAATTAAACTGACCAAACATTGTTGTTTATTCAAATAATTTATTAAGGCCAATTTAAAATTGAATTAATTTCTGGTAAGTTGTTTTACCTCTGAATTAGAGTAGACTCTAATTTGAGTAGACTTTTAGATTAGGACTGATTGAAGGTTATTTTAGATTTGTGTATTAATACGGAAGCTAATAACAAAGATCAAAACCTTTAAAAAACGAATTAGTAGACCATATTTTGAAGAGGAAATGAATTAGTGGCTCTATAATTGATAAACCTAAGTAACCTTCACATAAATTTTCTATGTAAACTTTTTAAATATATATACATCACCGTTTATATATTTTGAGTTTACACATTCAGTGTACGTTACTGTTCATAAAATGATGTAATCGGACATATATCAATATCACATCCTAATAGTTGTTTATTACAGTATGATTAGCATTGAAACATAATCGTCAAGAACATAAACTTAATAGTAGGAACCTTGAAAACGAAAAAGCTAATTTCCCATTGTTGAAATGATTCAACAATTACGATACATATCCCACAGGCAGGGCAGGAGGTAGTTTAGGTAAACAAGTTTTGTTTAGCATTATTTTGTACTTAAGTCTAAACACTTTGGGTGTCGTTTAAGTGAATCTGGGGCGATTACAAAACAAGACTAAATTACTCGTAACTCCAGCGTTATTAAACCCTCCGGGAGTTAAACCTGGGCCAATTATCTCAGTCACTACAGCTTCCTCCGGTAGTTTGTATATCGGCCACCATGACTACGAAACTTTGCCGCATAGGTGTACAATAGGTACCGTCTGTACAGTTTTTGTACGCTCGCAAAAACCTTGAACATATAGCTTCGACACCTAGGTGTTCATTGTTCAGGTACTGTGTATAGATAGTACGGACGCAAAACACTTGAATACGAGACTTCATCACCTAGGTGTACAATATGTTGTCTTTAGTTTGTACGCTCGCTACGCGTCAACAACATTGAATACGAGATGCTTCGTCGCATAGGTGTTACAGTTTTAATATATTGTTTGTACGGTAAAAAAAACCTTTATTGCAATACTTCGTCACCTGTGTGTACAATATGTATTGTGTGGGGTTTGTACAATCTCACCCACATTGACTTCGAGCTTTGAGACTTCGTCAACTAGGTGTACAACATGTATTTTGCATGCAAGTGTAAAGTTTTAAAATGTGTCATGCATTGTGTATTATTCGACATGATTAAATATCTGGTGTACTGCATGATCTTCAACCATTGTTGCACCAATGAAATAAAATATTATGTGTTAATTTGTGATATCCATTTGCATACATTGAGTTTTGTTTGGTGTACCTATATAAGTGCTGCAATGTATAACCTTCGACTCAATAAGTTTCTCTTTTACAATACTGTGCATGTGTAGTGCAGTCATATATTTAGTACGGTTTTCAGAAGTGTTCCACGAAATATTCGTGTAGGTTCTCGCACTAGTTTACACCTTTATCTGTTGCAAAGTGTTATGTTCTATTTCATGAGTTTGTTTCATGCTGTCCACTATACTCGGTATCTACTGCAGCCAAAGCCGTGAGCCACTTAATCAAATCACTACCAGCGTCGTCGGAAGTGGTGCCAATAATAGCGACGGTTGACTAATCTGGCTCGATTGCCGCTTCCTGCGTTGCGAGTGATGATCATGTTAACTACCTCCATCGACCGTTTAGGGTACTGCGTTACGGGGAAATTAATATTCCGTGAATTAATTATGTCTTTGGCAATTTTTCGCTACGACATAGCTCAATATGAAATAGAATGTGATTTGCATCTGAACGAAGCCCTTATACCGTATGTTTTTAATAATTATCGTTTATTTGCTTCTTATGTAGTAAAATAGTGTAGTAAAATTTATTTGCTTTGCATGTTTGTAGCACTCAAGCTACTGTACTTAAATCGACATAAGGGAAAAATATTTTAGTAACTATGTTATCATGTTTGTCTTATAAGTCTACAAATTATAATAATGAGAATCCTTATAACTACTTTAAACATTATAATCAATTCATCAACTGTATTTTATTGTTTAAATCAACAGCAAATTTTACAAAATGATTTAAATGCGAACAAGCCAATGGTTTTGAAATTCAAATTCATTATATCTTCTCATTCAATTGAAATAGTATTTTTACAAGATCAGTAAACAAGTGAAATTAAGTAGACGATAAACAATTTAGAACAACAAATACATAAGTAGTCTTTAAAAGCTTTGTTTGTCGTACTCGCTTCGTAATTTTAGATTATTAATTATATTATACGAAAGCAATTTTCTTTTCCAGACTGTTAAAAAATATTCGTACAACGTTAGAAAATAATTGAAAAATACCAATAAAACTTATACAATCTTCGAACTAATTGCCAACTAACTTATTTAATTACATCGTGATACAATTCAATTTTAATAGGATCGTTAACGAATGGAATGGATATTAGAGATTTATTACGTTATTAACTACTCGAATAATTAACTTTCTCGTTCAATCAAACAAATCTTTCTGCGCTCCAGCTTAAAACCCAATTACCGTAAAGAACGATTATTTTCTAGCAGTCGCTATGTAACTGCTGACAAAATAGTTAATTTGAATTCTTATAGCCCTAAGAAAGAGTTATTTAATTAGTTACCTATTTGTATCTGACGACTTTTATCAATGACATTGAGGCAACGATCGACGGAATTCAATATTTCATTATATTTCATGATGAATTATAAGTATATTTTTTAACGACGAAAAAAATGTAATTAAAAGTAGTGTAAGAGAGGTTTCTGATATGTAAATTTGTAGGGTAATATATATCTACAGATTGTAGTTACTATAATAAATATGTATTCAAGATATGTATTTACACTATATAATTTTCAGTTAATTAATTAAAGGATTAAGCTAGCTTACATCAGGTTATACATAGAGGTTTCTGGTATTGTGTGTAAATTAGTTGGAAAATATATATCTGCAACTTGTAGTTACTATATCAAGTAATAACTCAAATATGTATTTATGCTACATGACTTATAGTTCATTCATTAATTACCTTCTAACCGACATCTCGGTGTTTTTTAAGACAATACATTTACAAAAAATAACGTTTTTCAATATCCATTACCTGTGGATGATTCACTATAAGAGAAATCCTACGAGATCACACGGACGCGCAACGACTGATAACAGATTACGACAGCGGTTCACTGACAGAGCAGCCTACACGAGATGTTGACACAACGACGGCTCGTACACGACTGAATGCGACACCTGCGACTGTCACGACCCTGGTGGCGAGTCTGCGCACTACACCCCCCCACCACCTCAGCCACTCCTAGGGGAGGGGGGTAATGGGATTAGTTTTCCACCACCTTGTTTATTACTTGCACCTTCATGCCCATCGCCTTCTGATTTACTTAATCAATTACATTATTACCCTTATCCGATTGGCCGTACCTTTTGTTTTGCTCCCTTCGCCCATTACTCTGGCCACTCTTTCATTACGTAATTGCCTTAGCCAACACCCAGCCGTAATTGTCTAATGGTCAGGTATAAATACAATTAAGTCAACTGCAGAGCTACTGTGTTTCTCATTTAAGTTCCCGAAGTTGTAATTTTACTTTACAGGAATTTTTACCTAAGATTAATATTCGGTTTTGAAATCTTGTGCACGGTTTGGCACTGTATTCGGTGTAGTGTGGTAACAAAGTATCAATAAATAACTTTCAGATCATTGAATCAATAACCTAGGGCTTTTCTTCAAGATAAGAACGTTTAAGAACGTTCGATCACCTAATCATATTTCCTATACTTAATTTTTCATTTTTTTAATACATTTCCAATAGATTCATTTTGTTACAGTATAGTGTACACACAGTTTCTTATAATTTATATTAATATGATTCCCAGTTATATGACGTAGGATTTCCTTATTTCTGTCTTATTCAGCTGCTTCAGTTATAATTAATATTGTTTACTTTAGTTTGTTGTGATTTTTGTATAAATTATATTTGTGAATCAAATACAACTACATGAAAACTATTATTTAACACTGACACAACAGTGTTTTGGTGACGAGGATGGGATACACAAGTGTAACGTCATCAGGTACATCTAGATGGTCTTCTTTCAAAAGACGTCCCACAACAAAGTGCTCAAGAGCTGATTCGGGGAACGTTTTTCCGCAACGTGAGCAGATGCGGTTCTTTTCTACATACTGCCAAGCAGCTGTATCTATTGCAAACCCTGCAACTGTCTTCTGGTACATAAGGTCAGACCGTACTTGAGTGATCCAATTATGCACATCCTCAGACACAGTCCTAGTAGGAGTAAGGGTAGGAACCTGTTTTCCACTCTGAACGCTCTGTTCTTCATCAACAATCCTGTCACCTGTGCAAAGTTCTTCCTTTTGGGGCGAGAGCTCCATTGCGGTATCATCATCACCACTAAAATCCATGGTTGAGTCGAAAAATCCAGCACACAATCGAAAGATTTCCTCTCCTTCATGAACTCCTACATCCTCAGACAACTGCACACCATCAAAACCCGGTATATCTTAAATGTTATAAAACACAGTAAAGCTATACTATACTATAATATACGGCTGGTTTTGGTCTTAAGGCCGTATCTACATTCGTGGGTTCGGCACAGTGAGTCTCTTTATTGATATCATCATTAGGAATTGAAAATAATATTTTCTGGTCTAGACCGTGGAACTGAAAGTACATTTGATTATCTTCAAACCGTCCTTCTTCGTTCAGTGTTAAGTACTTAGAGACATAGCAGTTGAAATCTTCTTCCTCAAAGACTTGATAAGGTCTTGTGACTTCTTGAAACTTATACTGTGAAGATAGTTTGGAAAAGTATAATCATTTTGATATATCTAGTTGAAACTTTTTGTAAATCTATGTTTAGTTATTTATTGCATTTTATTTTTTTCCGTCAACATTTGAAATATTTTTATGTAAACTAGATTCTTTAATCAAATTATGACGTTTTACACTCCAAGCCATATATAATAAAATAAGGAAATCGAATAAAAAAATTAAATTTGATTTTTGGTAAAAAAAAAAACTTTCATAGAGATATTCCGTCTCTAAGTATTACTATGTATCAAAGTAAGACAGCAAGATAGATGAATAAAATCACATCATGTAATCTAACAACTGAAAGATATTACTTAAAGATAATATATTACTTAAACACTCTATTGCAGTTTGTCTTTGAAGTTTCCACAGTGAAAAAGCAATAAGCTCTCAAGAGTGCTAATTAATTACACTATGAGGATAAAGTAATTTAGGGACAAAGACACCGGTGCTGAAACACCTAAAGAAATGATTCACATGGTTAAAAGGGATAATTAAAACCCTTTTAAAGTAGATTCAACTGAGGGCTCCTGCATTAGGGTAAATTAAAAAGTTTCCGGTGACGTCTCCTTTGTTTTTTTTTCGAGGCGGTTATAAAAGATAGCTTTTAAAGAGTCGAGTGGCTTAGGCTTCATCCATCTAAGGCTTTGTACTTGCCGCTTCCATTAGCGCCTGCCTTGCAATGTGGGAAATGAGAAATGAAGACAATTGAATGTGAAAAATTAGGGGCAGAAAATTTAGACAATAGATTAAGTCGAGTGTAGACAATAGACAGTAACCCATAGTAAGTATATTTTTAGTGGTGATATTATTCGAACTTTTTTGTTGATAGATTCAACACAGAGCTACAAGTTAAAACTGCTTAAGTGGGCGATATATGTGAGTGGTTGGTCGCTATTTCAGGCACATTCGAGCATCTCAATTAGTACAGGCTAGACCATCGGTTATCTCAGGCCTTCCATTACGCATTAGAGTGGAGGCCTCAGAATGGTTCATCTTGAGTACTAAGTGCTCCACATGCTCCAAGTACTAAGGCGGTGCAGTGTTAATTCAAACATGTAGGATAACACTTCTAATTTAGTCTTTATGTTCAGTAGTTGCGTCACAGTAGGATTAGAACCCTTAAGAGAATGGTGTTGGTTTTAAATATAGTTTAGGAGATAGTTACACATCAATCATTGATTTTAGAAGCTAATCTCTGTTGAGTACCCTAAATTTATCCAGACAGAAATAATTTTGTCTCATAGTTCAACTTGCAGGCATATTTAGCTTGCAATGTGTTATTGAAGAACTTCGATGTTTCGATAAAGTGATTTAGTGATTAATTTTGAAGGTATCCAATCTTACAGCAGACTATCTTACATTAACTCATTTTCCTGTCCCACAATCTCCAGCTAGTGGTGTGTCGTATACTCTCCTGACGCGCCGCCGCAACTACAAATTGGAAAGATGATTACAAAGTCACGGTTCTCGCTTCAACTTTTAAGGGTCCCATTTTCATAAGCGCAGCGACATCGACAGCCGCGTAATGGTGTCACCACACTACGCTCCCCCCCCCCCCAATCACTATCTTACTCACACACTTAACTGCAACAGCTGAGGAAAATTGTTGAGAACTGTTACAGACATCTCTCACGAACGGCGTTTTTCTCATTAGTATAAACGTGTTTTTTCTCATCGAAGTGTTTTATAATAAAAGTATTAAAAATTAATACGAATCTAGACACAACACACTTGCGTGTATACAACTACTTTATTATAAATAAACTCAAATAACTTGGGGAGAGGGTGGCTCATAGCGCGATGGAGTGTGAAACCAATGCGGCGATATTGAGGGTTTCGAATTTAAATATATCCGTGTAGACAATTTTTGTACTGTACTGGTCCACCTCATGGTTTGCTAGGTATTATCCACACACAGACCTTTGAGGTTAATGTAGACAGGCTAATGTTTCCAATCTCTTTAAAATAACAATTTTTAATATTCCTTCCAAAAACGTTAAGATCTTATGAAACTGTACAACTTAAGCTAGGACTTGGAAATTAACGGTGCTGTTTAGAAGTCTATACTGACTGTTGTACGAGTAGAAAAGCATTCTGGCCATTTAGAAAACATTTGTCTATGAAGGAATTACACGATTAAAGGGATAAAAGGCAACATGAATTGTTTGAAAACTGTTATTGGGTATTAACAATTTCAATTTCTACGCGCAATTTTGTATTGAGCTATACAATCAATACTAAATCCTTTTTGTTCTTATTTAAACTAAGAATTGTCCTTAAAGTTAAGCCTGGATGATAAGTTCATATAAGAAAATACGACTTCTAAGATTTGTCTGGAAATAATCATACTTGTTACTAATGTAGGAAGATATTTATTCCGTGGTAATTACTTTTCTTTGAAATAGATACGTAATGGTCTCCAGTATTCTGCTGTTATAGATGTTTAAAATATACTCCATATACACGACCACAAAGTTCTAACTGCCTCAGTCCATTTCCTCATAGTGAACTCAAGACTGTGATAATGCGTCAGACCCATCAACATCGTTATAGTGGATATAACGCATTCTACTTTATCAGAGTCTCCCTCCATCTTCCATTTCCTCATCCATTCATCCAACCATGGCTGAGTGACTGACCATCCATTACTTGATACACCTCCATCACATGAGAACTAAACTTCGAGTTGAGCTGCTGAGCAACACAACTCATGTAATTCTCCAAGCCCCCTTGTATTTTCCAAACCTCATATATTACCTGAGCTTTGACTCTCAATGTTCTTATAGGGCACAACATAGTTTTTTTTTATAGACTTAAAGGCGAGAGAGACTACAATAAAAACCAAATAAAACATATTTTATAATATTGACTTTTAAGAAATAAATAGTTTAAAGCATTCATATTAATTATCAGTCATTGAGATTAGGATACCACCTATGTATTTTAACCCAAATGAACTAGTGCACCTGTTGCTCGAATTCGAGCGATTGCAAAGTATTACAGGCGTTATTTCAAAACCAATAACAGTCATAATTCCGATGACATAAAAGATTCAACTCAAAGATAATGTAATCAATCACTCAACTCTAGTTAACGAAGCTGAAAACGAACTCACTCTGAAAACGACTTGTGTGTATCATGTGTTTATTATGAACAGCTGTTTTAGTATACAAATTATTCGTCTGTTTAAGTAAACAACATATTTTTTTCTTGAGAAATACATTGGGATTTTGATGGCCTGTTGGGAAAAAATTATTCACCCCCACTCCCTACCCTGTTAAAGGGGTTAAAAACTGTAGTTGAAGTAAAAATTTGCGGAGCCTATGTTAACAATCAGTTCTACAAACAGAATATTTCTATCTATTCCGGTTTTAAAAATACAGATTTGTT